AAATACCCCTTTAGGAAATGAAAAGCCTGTGATACTGAGTGAGGTTGGAGTCTGGATTTCGTGGCTGCTCGTCTAGGACCCTTTCTCCACTTCTCTGTGCCATCCCGCCCCAGGGCTTCCTCTGGCCCTCTGTCACCCATGCCTTCAGTTGTTTATCTTCTCATACAGCCCTGGGGCTCTGGAGGGCAGATCTTGGGACCTGGGGCTTTTTTTCTCTCTCCTGGAATACAGCTGAGCCCAGTCTCTTGAAATGCATGATAATTTATTTCCTCCCTGTGTCCAAACATGATTCACAGCAGGGTCATGTGTAACGTATAGCACAGGCTCTGGACAGAGGCCCGAGTCCCAGGGCCTGCTCTGCCCCCTTAACTGTGCCATCCTGAGAAAGTTCGGACTCCCTCTAAGCTTGGGTTTCTGCCTGTGGAGGTCAGGATAGCAGAGCCGGGTCAGGCTGCTGTGAGCGAATACTGATTCTCACCAAATGCTTGCTTGGGGCCTGGTGCTCTGATAGGGCCTGGTGCTCAGACAGGGCCTGGTGTGACCTATTGGTCACATGACACACAGAAAGACGTGTTCGGGTGTCTTCATCATGTTTCAGGCAGCCCCTAGAGAATTGGGGGGTGGGAACCCACTCTGCTCAGGGGCTCGTCTCTCAGAGCACTGACCATGTGGATCGGCCAGTCCCAGGAGGTCCAGGGAACTGGAGAGACTGAGCCCGACCCCTCTAAATCTTCCAGGGCCTGGCCCATAGGACAGTAGACTGACTTACTGAGCTGCCCGGACTAGGATAGCTCCCAGGGTGGGATGGGGTAGGGGTGTGGCCAGCAGCACTGTCGCTAGGACTCACATTCAGGACACCTGGCAGAGCTGGGGGAGGGAGAGTGAAGGTGGCCCCCAAATGGCATTTTCAGAAATGACTTGTTGAGAAATGTTGACAGAAAAGCCTTTATTAATTCCGAAAGTAGGAAACGAGGCCCTCCGGAGGAGAGCGGGGACTCCCACTGTAACGGGATAGTAACTGACACCATGCGTCGTAACTGGGAAGGGTTTACCCGCACCACAACCACCACTTTGTGTGCACGGTCTCCTTTAACTCTTTGAACAACTGTGTGGGGCGAGTGTTGCTCCCTTTTATGGAAGAGGAAAAGAGGCTCAGGGATGTGAAGTCGCTTGTCAAGACAACTCGGAGGTGGAGCCAGAACACAAACCCTTGTTCTCAGAAAAAGCAAAAGTTCCTGTGGGTGCCAGGGCCAAGGAACTGGCCCAGAAAATATGGAGGATGACAGACATAACACCACCGCTTCGCTCATTCCTCTGAGATGGAGGCCCCACTGCTGTCTCACCTGGGGGGTTAGGGGGGGGCAGCAGGCTCAGGCAGGTGGAGCTGATAGACAACACAGAGCCCCCTCCAGGGCCTGGCCCCCTGCAGAACCCCCTCCAAGGCAGACCTTCCAGCATGGCTTCCCTCTTCTGCTCCAGACGACCCTGGTCGCAGGCCCAGAGGTACTGTGGCCCAGAGGGAGGCTTGCCTGCCTGGCCAGAAAGCTGAGAGAGGGGTCTCTGTTTCTCTCCCAGACACTACAAGAACATGGGGGAGCTGGGGAGTCGGGGTGCCTGGGGACTGACCCCACTTTCCTTTGGTGCCCACAGTGCCTCCATGTACTCCTACCCTTGACTTATAGTCCGTCTACACCTGCAACCACTCTTTGGGGCTGACTTTAACAGGACCAGGTAAGAACAAATCTGCTCGACTATTTCTTCAAGCTGGGCCTGAGCTGCCAGCAGGCATGATGATCTCTTCAAGGTCAAAACCCACTACCTGTGTTGCCCGTGGCACTTGGTACGAGGCCCACAGCAGAGGGCAGAGAGTGGGCACTGACTGGGTTTGAACTGACACTATCACTTCTTGCTGTGTGACCTCAGGCAAGTGACCAGACACCTTTAAACCTCAGGGGCCTCACCAGTGAAAGGGGATCATGAGGACCCTTCCTCACAGAGTTGTCTTGCAGATAAGGGGCATATCAACGAGGCAGGTACACTGAGCACCGAGCCCCTGACCCTATGCTGGTTCAGTAAATGTTAGTGCTTGCTCCTGAAGACAAAGATGGCGCGGCCTTCCCAGAGCAGCGTGCCTGACGGCCCCATTTAAAGCGGGGCTCCGTTTACTCTTACTGGCGGCACCCCTTTGTTCTTCAGCCCAGTTTGTAACCATACGTGTTTCTTTGCTTGCACGGGAGAGCAGGAACTGTTTCCCACTGCCTGACCCCCAGCACCAAGGGCTGGAGCAGTCAGTGTTGACTGAATGAATGACAGTCCCTTCCCAATCTTCTGCAGGCAGAGCAGGGTAGGACTTGCCACAGGACTCAGCTTTCAGAGCCCCTGTCTCCCCACTCCATCTAGAGATGACCCTACAGTCTATGCAGCGGGAAGGCTGGCTGCTGCCTGCCAGCCACAGAATAGCCGGGCAGGTGTTAACACTCACCTGTTTGGCCATGGTCCTTGATGGACGAGGGGTCATTCAGGGACTGTCCCTCCACCCATATACAACTGTTTGGGCTGTGGCCTCACTGAGACCCTACTAAAGCCCCTTTCTCACCTGGGACTATTGGCCTGACTTTTGGGAGAGGCTTCTCTGTTTCCCACTTTTCTGCAGCCCCGCCTCCTTCTAGGTCTCTCCTGCCTCCTGCCCTCATCGCAACCAGGGCCCCCTGGCCTTGGCAGATGTGTGAGGCTGGAGGGGGCTCTCTGAGTCCAGATGTGATTGTGTTTATGTTTCCAGAGAGGGGTCGGTGCTCTGGGCTGGAGCCGTTGGGGGAGGGGTGGTCTGGTTCCAGCCCCCTGCCCCAGCATCCCCTCCTCCCACCTTTCTCCTTTGGCCTGTGAATCTGGCCCTGTCTATCTCAGAACGGCACAGCATCAAGGCAGGGCTGCCTTCAGGGAGGACTCCTCTTCATCCCTCATCTGAAGGTGAGACCAGTGGAAAGATGCCTGGCTTTGGGATCTAAAGGTCTATGAGCTCAGTGTGGCCTGGGCCCAGTGAAGGGTCTGGTAGAGCCTCTCTCTCTTCCATCTGTAAGACCGAGACTCAGCTCCTGACCTCAGCGGCAGTGTTGACCTGGTTAGAGACTGTGTGCACAGGGCTCTCCAACTATTAGCTCATGACTAAGCCTGTGGCTTTGCCCACTCCCAGCTAGGGCTTGCCTGGGTCCAGCTCCAGGGCAGTGCCAATCCCCATAACAAGGTGATTCTAAAGTAGAATATCAACCCCTCCTCCTCCTCCCTCTGCAGCTGCAAACATTTTGTTTTGCCATTAGAAGTGACTTACTTAAGGGAAGCAGAATTTTACAGGCCGTTTACAGGCTGGTCTTGTTCAGTAGTTTCCAAAAGCGGGAGGAGGGCGGAGGCAGCCAGCAGCCCCCCATATTCTGGGATGGAAGGGAAGTGAGAAGTGAGTCCTGTGTGACCGACACTTTCTCTGCCTCAGCCACATGCCCTTGGGTGGGATCTGAGCACCTTGGGGTCTTAGGGGAAAAGGCAGAGGGAGGCCCTGGCTAAATGCTATCAGATCAGTCCCCTCAGTCCTCCTGTAAGAACCAGAGCCATGCTCCAAGGGCGGTGGGTACTGGGCCCACGGGAGAAAAGACAACCTCAGGCTCCTGGCAGTCTCTACCCCAGCACCCCGGCCGGGTAACATTCTGAGGACCTCGACGCTCATGCCAGGCTCAGCCTGGGAAGAGCCCTAAATGTCGGGCCACCGGGGAGGAAGAGGAGTCCCAGCTGCGGCAGCCCCATGCTGCGGAGTGCCCAGTGCCATAACGTGCAGCGCGGAGGCTGGGCGGCTCAGTCCCTGCGCCCAGGGCGGCTGCGCTGTGGAGAGGGAGCTCAGAACGCCAGGCTAAACAGGCCAGGAAAGGTAGTGGGGAGGCGCGGCAAGGGTCCGCGGCCCGAGGACCTCAGCTCTTCCCTCCTACCCGCGGCCCGAGATGGAGCAGTTCCCTTTCTATCCACCTCCCTCCTCAGCCAAATAAAGCAGTCAGGGCTCAGCCGTGCTTAGCACGCTCGGACTATGGTTTTAATAGACGTACATGGACAAGTCGATATAGACAGATTTATAATTCTATACAGTCAGTCCGACATACACAGGGACGCTGTAAACAGGGGCGCGGGCCGGAGAGCGGGTGTGCAAAGTGGGCGCGGGGCCCTGGGGCCGCGCCCAGCGCTCTCCGTGCTCGACTCTTGCACGGCAGGCGGTGAGGAGAGGGGCTATTCGCCCCGGGACTGGGGCCACCTCCTGGCCCAGGAGCGGAGCAAAGGGCTAGGGCCCTGCGGCTGAACTGGGGTCTGGGGTGCTCTGAGACAAGCCCCCCCCAATCACCCCCCCACCCCGCGCCTGTCCGCACCCTCAGCTGCAGCTTGGTGCCTTAAAAAAGGGCACAGGGGCGCGGGCCCGGAGAGGGCTCTTCCGGGCACGCCGAGGCCGTGTGCGGCCCCACGGCAAGTACCCGATCCCGGGCTAGACACCGTCATACCCGGCCCAACGCCCACTCCAACTCGGATCCGACTCGAACCACGGTGCGCTCGGGCAGGCCCAGCTCAGAGAGGATGTCTTGGTTGGTTCGGGGCCGGAGTATCCAGGCACGTCCCCGGCTCCGCACATCCAGTTTGCAGGCGCGGCCGCTCAGTCGAGTCCAAAGCGGCTGGGACGTGGGCTACAAGGGCGTCCTCTCCGGGCGCCGGGCTTAAGCGCTCGCTTCCACTCCGTGGCATGGCCGCCGGGGCCCGTGGGACGAACACACACCACCGCGCCATCCCGAGGGAAATTGCAACTCATCCATTTTTTTTTCGCGGCACTTTTCTCCGACGTCTTTTTGCTTTGTTTTGTTTTTGTTTGTTTTTTTTTCGTTTTGTTTTGGAGGGCAGAGTGGGGTCCGGAAAAGCAAACACAAAACCAACCCGGAGGTGGGGAGGTGGGGAGGAGGGGGTTGCAGGCGGCTGGGCGGTCAGCTGTTGTACTGGCACGCGTTGAGGCCCGAGGCCGGGCCCTGAAGGCCGCCGTAGCCGAACGACGAGTGCTGCTTGGACTTGAGCCGCAGGCTGGCTAGGCTCGAGTTGCACGTGTCCCGGTAGACGCTGTAGGGCGAGGCGGGAGTGCCGTACGGGCAGGCGCCCGGGGACATGGCCGAGTTAAGCGAGGAGCCGGTGAGGTTGTTGATGTTGTTGAGGCCCGAGTTGGGCATGCCGGGCACGGCGCCCGGGCCCATGCTGGACGGCATGGTCATGGAGGAGATGGAGCTGGGTGCCGAGAACATGGACTGCGACGACAGCGGGCTCATGGAGTTGAAGAAGGTGAAGCTCTTGGTGGAGAGCGGCGCCGGCGCCAGGCTCTTGGCGGCCCAGTTGTTGTAGGAGTAGCCGGCGGCGTACACGTCCTCGTAGGGCTGCACCAGGCCGCTGAACTGCGGCACGTAGCCGCCCTTGCACAGGTCCAGCTGCTGGTTCCGCTCGCGCTTCCGCCACTTGGCTCTCCGGTTCTTGAACCAGACCTGAGGGCGCGGGCAGGAGAAGGGTCAGGGCTGCCCAGCGCGGGAAGGCCGCCACCCCACCCCCACTGCCCGCCACCCCAGTCCCTGCTCTCTTCTCCCCAGAAACGTTTTGTTTCTCCAACCGAGATTTCCGCCCTTGATTTCTCTCCATAATGGTTTCTTTCCCACACCCAGAAAATACTCATCTCCCCCTCTTCCGCTC